CAAAAGCGATGGGACAATGAGGGAGAAAAGAGCTGTCTCAAGTATTCGACACGACGCGCTATCCATATGGCTGCTCTACTGACGAGAAAGTTGGTTGGACTGACCGTAGGTCTGCCTGTGAGTGTTAGGTGTATATTAACCCTGTTTGCCCGACATTTTTTGGCGATGTGCCCGTGTTCAGTGTGTGTTCCCCCCCTCGTTTTACTTTTTCCGTTCAGCTCAGCCTACAACCACTAACCCGAAACCCAATCAACCCTTTCGCCCTTCGATACCCAGATTTTCTCTTTGTTAATCCAATCGCGTTCCGTCCTTCCAGTTTACGTTTTGCTTGCTGTTTCTGTGTGCCATCTAGATGCCTGGTTTTAAATTTACAAAACAGAAGGCATTCTCTTTATTTTACTCTCGGTTTTGATCCTAGCCCACTTTCCTAGTTTGCGTTATTTCTTATTATCTCCAAATGTACATTTTCCCTCGTCGATCTTGATAGTTGCGCGTCATCGATCAGTTCCTCCGTACCATAAATTCATGGCCATTTCCGTTCGAATTATTAGATCTTAGATATCTTAGCCACCTCGAGAAACCAGCATGCGGATCGATCGATCTCTCGGCCACCGTTTTCATTGCAGAGCAGTTGCCAATCCAGAATCCAACACGGTTGTTCCAACTTACCCCTGTTGTTTTTATTCTCGCTTGTATTTATTCACCATCGACGTATGTCTGTGCGTTTCCTTCCCACATTCCGTGGTTGCTCCCTCGTTTATCTGCGAACATTTCGTCTATTCTGTGAGAATGCAGCAAGTAGATTTTGGCGGATGATATTTATTCGTTCGTTTATCAGTCGCCCGCGATTAGAGTAGTTGTGATTCCTCGTTGTTTTTATTGTTGTGCTGCACGTGTGAAGTATCGTTTGAAATTCGCTACGGCGATGACCAGGAGAAACAACTTGCTCGAAGAATCTCTTCGTTTCGACGATGAAAATGTCGATTTTTCGCAAAACATTTATCTCGCATAATACTTACAAGTCAACGTTTATAGTGAAAGTTCTAAGGAACGAGGACATATAATAGCGTTTAATAGAGGATTCTGAACACTTTCTTTTCGTCAAGGCGCACAGGGTGTGGTAGTATTGATATTACCAATGTGTACACGTCGATTCTTGGTACAAAAATAGTTGTAAATCGATGCTATCCTTGGGGAAAAAAGTTTTCGATGATCGAACGATATGATACGAGGCTATCGTAAACTGCTTTAAGCACGAACGTAACTCAAATTTGTCCAACACATACATGTCGCATCTATTTTAGTTAATTTTAGATCAGTATTGTTACATTTATTAAAATGTTAGTAAATAATGTAGGATTTGTTGTAGTTAGTGACGTTACACGTATTATATTAGTATTAATTGTGAGAGATTTATCATTCATGAAGTTTCTTAGTGAAATTAACTCGAAAAATTAATGCTTAATTTCATTTATTTAAAACAAGCTTAATTCACAGATGATTTTTGTGCGGAGAATCTACTCGTACGTATAAATTTCACATTAAGTTATCAATACTATCGCATCTTGTAAAAAGTTTTTTCTGAATTTTTACGACGAAACGCAAATCGCCGCAAATGCCGCCTCTGACCGAAATGGATCTTAGAGAACAATTAATCATAGCTGTCACGGAGGAATGATGAATTACAGGAGATCCGTACGAGCCTCCTCTCTCACTCGTTGATTTTCGTTCCATCCGGACACACCCCGAGAGGCAAAACGCGACGTTTTGTTTCTGTTATTTTGTACGAACTCGAACGACTTCAACATCTGTCGATTCGACCGGGACCAGCGCAGCGGTTAGGAACGAACAAACAAGATTAAAAAAGATTAATTAGTAGACTGAGGATTTTTATCTACAGTGAAATATTTAAAATCCTTTTAATAATTAAATATAACTAATAACATTTTTGCATATTATCTGTATTTTTTAGATCTCTTCACACTTAAACCTCTTATAATTGCATAAAAATTCGCAGTTTGCTGATCAGTCGTTTCCAATTGATCCTTTTTTTTCTGTTCCTTGTTAAGTTAATCGTATTCTGTGGTGGTTTTCCTTTGTCTATTTCATTTTCCACATCACTCTCGCGTGTACTGTTTCATGAATTTTCGTTTGTCACGGTTTCGCATTGTGGAACCATCATCAGCCATTAAAAATAGGCAACACTGGATTAAATTAACTGTGCCTGTACAAGGAAGTTAATCAAACAATTGGAGCAACTTTAGCTCCCATGTGTGATGATGAATTTTTATTTAGAAACTCGGTCCTTTTTTGTGCTCATTTATTCGCACAGAAGAAATCCAGGAATTTGTGCAATGGAAAAGGAACTTCGCTCCTAAGAATTTCTACTTTGTCCATTACCTTCGTCCTGCCTCCTCTTACCTCGTATCCATCAGAGCTAAATACTTGTATTCTATTTTTTTCCTAAGAAAAGTTGTATTTACCACCAACATTTATTAAATTTATGACATTAATGCTGACTTAGTAATAAGCGAAAGAATCTTTCTTGCTTCGTCGCGAGGGCTCCTCACTGAACTAACTTTTGGAATTGTACTAACCAGCCGAGAAATGCGA